AGCGAGCGGGGGTATTGTTTGCAATGACAGCTTTACAAGGAAAAAAATACATGGGCAACATACTGCCTCAAAGTAATACTGTGGTGTTTTATTGCAGTATATTTTTGATTATCTTAAATAAACGCAAAGCTTAAAACCATATTTAGTTGCTTCTCATATGTCTGAGCTATGTTTTTCATAACTAACATGAGAGCTTTGTTTGTATATCCGCTAGGGGTGTAACGGTATACGTACGGTAGGGCTGCACGATATTGAAAAAAACTGACATTGTGGTTTTTTGTTCCCCTGCGATATATATATTGCGGTTTTTTTAACCTGTTAAGCCCCAAGGTCCCGGCGGGTACTTTACTTTTTTTTTCACGACACTGTGTCTCAGGGGATCTTAATATTTAAGAACCTATTAATGTGTTATACCAGATTAACGGAAATAATCTCAGCTAACTGACGATACAAACCATTTTTACCAAAACAAAACACAAGTCTCATAAGAAGCATCTAAATGACCCCAGCGAAAAATGCTAACGGACTTTGGCACAGAACTCAAGATAAAAGTACCCTTATTACTTATCGTAGCTGCACATACAAGATATCCGATTAAAGCTGAGGTTCCACAGATTATTTAGGTATATATATATCATCACTGAGTCATCCGAACTCGCGACAGGGGAAACAAACACAGAAATCACAACACGTACCTTTACGGAGCTTCTAGGGGAGATGTATCACCGTAGCTGTCAATCTGATCAAAAGACGTGTTCAATGGCATTAAAACGAGAAAAAACGCGGCTGAATCACCAGAGTGGCTGCTGCTTCCGGTCTTGGCTATGCGGCAGTCTAATACACACATTACCAAATAAGGAGTGAGAGTAGCCAAAACCGGAAGCTGCATACGGTGGCTATACGGTGGCCATAATGGTGGCTACCATTAGCAGCTAACTTTTGTGCTCCGATTTTTACATAAAAATTGAATTATGGATTATAAAGAATTGCTTCAAAGCCACAGATACATTATTAACCTATGGATCAACCGATTCAGCCGCATTTTTTCTTTCTCGTTTTAATGCCATTGAACACGTCTTTTAATCAGATTGACAGCTACGGTGAGACGATCTTCCGTAAAATCTCCGTAAAGGTACGTGTTGTGATGTCTGTGTTTGCTTCCCCTGTCGCGAGATCGGATCGCTTAGATACTATACTTAAATAATCTGTGGAGTCTCAGCTTTAATCGGATATATTGTATGTGCAGTTTCGATAAGTGTATCTTTATTTTGAATTCTGTGCTAAAGTGCATTAGCATTTAAAAAAAAAAAAGAATAAAACCGCACGTCCCTGCGGTGTGAATATCGCGCATGCGCATATCGCGGTTATCGCCATGACACGGTATATCGTTCAGCCCCAACGTACGGGCCCTTCGGTTCGGTACACGTGTGTACCGAAGTGTACCGAACTAATATAACGTTAAACGTAAAAAATTGAGAACGTGAACAACTTCTTAGAAGTAATCTCAGGTGCTGCGTCGCAGCATTCAGAGTAATTTGCTCACATTGGGTTCAACGCGTCATACAGTGGCGAAGTCACGCCCATCTACTTCCGGTCCATGGGACCTTATTTGGGAAAAATAATTTATTGAAGTCAATGAAGAGCGAAAGCTTATCTTTCGATCCCGTTTGAATTGTGCCACGAATTACACATATGATGTTTGTCAATCTTAAAAAATTATTTTCATTTTAAAAAAAGTCACAGTTTGTCGTAAAACTGTTGAAATATAAGACTATGAAAAATACGCAACTAGAAAGACTACAAATCCCAGAGTTGCGTAAGTGATGTCATAACTGATGTCACAATTGTTTTCCTCCAATAAGAGATAGATTCTATCTATATGGCGCTGATCTTAGCTATCTATATAGCGCTGGCTAAGATAAGATAACTTTAACAAGATGCCTGTGTGCTTAGTACCAGGTTATTATCATACCAGCAATGGGTCTTGCTCGTTCTTTCGCTTCCCGTCTGATGAAAGGACCAGGAGTGGCTGGATCAAGTTAGCTACCTAGCTAGTAGCAAGCACGTTAGTTAGCATTACAGCCTTGTCATTTTTATTAGCCTTAATATGAAGTAACATTAAGTAACCCAAAATGTTAAACAGTAAGAGTAGTAGTCATATTTCGTGAACCCTTTGAAGAGAACTGTGTGATCATTTTGACTGTGTGATCATTCTATAATACACAATTTAAGCCCGGGGAAGAAATGCTAACGCTAGCATCGGCGATCGCCGATCTTTTCTACTTCATGCTATCTGCACAAATGGTTGACATAAACATTAAAAAGATCAGGCAGTTCAGAGAGAATCAAAGGAAGGCAGGCAGCTTTGCATGACATTCTTCTGGACATGTTTCATTGTGGTGATAGTGAGGGTAGTCAATCGTTTTGTTGACAAGACAGTAGTGACGGCCATCTTGGTGACTTGTTTTTGTTCTGCGAGACCAGAGGTGTAGTTCATTGAGCGTTTCACACAAACAAATGTGTTACTTCACAAATTTACGACACTTTTTTTTTTTTTGACTTGCAAAATTATCTTTTAAAAATTGACAAACATCATATGTGTAATTCGTGGCACAATTTCTCTCTCCATTGACTTCAATACATAATTTTTCCGAAATAAGGTCCCATGGAGCTCTCCCGGAAGGGGAGGGACTTTGCCACTCTATAGAGCGAGCAAGTCATTTCATTGGACGAGAAGCATACTATGAGAGCTGGTCAGAGGGATGCGTTCAAATGTAGTCAGTAATTTGAAGAACTGGCGAAATGGCGAACGCAGATAAAGTTGAGCTCGAAAATCCTCCAGCATCATTGAAGTCTCCGGTTTGGGAACATTTTGGTTTCGCAGTTACGTACAAGGATGACGGACAAAGACAGGTGGACCGAACCAAAGCTGTTTGTTGGCATTGTTCAACTAAAATTGGTTACGCGGCTGGCAATACATCAAACTTGCACACTCATTTGAAAATCACCCGAACGTGAATATCACCGGTACCAAAAGAAAAAAGACTGAAGTGCAAACCCAACTCCCGCTAGTATTTAAGCCTCCACCACTCGCAAAAAGTTCAGACCAAGCCAAAGCTATTACAAACGCCAAAAATCCTTATGTTGCCATGTTAGCAAAGCGCTACCTGGCTGTATCTGCTACCTCTGTCCCTAGCGAGAGGGTGTTCTCCACAGCAGGAGACATTGTTAGTGCCAGCAGATCTGCCCTTTCCGCAAGCAAGTTCATCTTTCTTTAAAAAAACATGAAAATACAATGACAAGCAAGTCATTATGTCAAACTGGCTGCTTGGGTACTAGTACAGTACAGTTCAAATTAGGGCTGTGCAATTTAATCGATCCTGCGATATATATCGATATTTAGTTTTCCGAGAAAGTATCGATATTTCAGCCGCGGGTACATACATTAAGTCTGATAACTGTGTTCGTTATTCTCGCGTCCAGGAGAGAAGCTTTAAAAAGGAGACTAATTGAGTCTCTGAGAAGGTTCAAATGTATACTTTAATTAATAAAAAGCGCAGTAATGTTACAAGCAGAAGATGGTTCAGTCAGAAAAACAGCTGTGTTCTGGCTCTCGTGAGCGAAGGGAAGAGAGCGAGCTCCATCTTTCCAGCTGTTAAATATCCTCTGCTGGCTCCTCCCTGTGGGCCGGTTGGCGCTGCTGGGGGCCGGCCCTCCACGTCTCCAATGTTCGTTGTTGCGCATTACAGAGGATTCAGACATTGTACATTAAATATATAACTAAACACGCCTTTTCTCCTCCTTATCTCTTTCATGACTTTTAATTTAATACATTTTAAAACGCTGTAATCAATACTCCAAAAATACCTCACGGCTGGTATCATTTCCGGATGTTGTCTCATGCTACCCACGTCTGTAAACAAACGTATTCAAATAAACTACCTTCATTTAATATTCAGCAATAATAATATCTCGACGTCTATAGTTGTAGTGTTGAAATCAGTAGGTTTCGGTGTGCAACACTCCGTGTCATATCGCTACTAAATTCACCTCTATAGTAAATGATATATTAGCCACATGCTAAATGCTAACCGGAGATGAAGGATTTTCAGAATAAGCTTAACAACTGGTTGTGCACAAGAACTTCTGGTTTTTCAGTATAAAACAGCATTTAAACTGATGGTATGTTTAAGGTACTTTATGCCATCAAAACATTGATTTTAATTTCTAACAAGTCCCATTCAAATCCCCCGTGTTCCGCCACCTGCTGCACCTTTTAATTCTCCATTGTCCATTGTGATACTGCACTTTATGTACTTCCGTTTCAAAGGCTTGTAAGCTACAGTTTGCACTGTTTCAATAAATGAAACTAATTTTCTCACCACATCTTTTGATTCATTTTGTCCAGCACTTGCAAGCTGTAGACTCTCTGTCAGAGCCATATATTGTATAATTGATGCTTTCAGTTGAATTAATTCAATCCAAGTCAATGGAACACTCACAAGATGTCACCAAAATCACACTGTCCCTTTAAAATCTTTCAGAAAATGATATAAGTGTATCGAATTATATCGAATCGTATCGAATCATATCGTTGGCTGAATATCGTGATATATATCGTATTGTGAGCTGAATATCGTGTATCGTATCGTATCGTGAGATTAGTGTATTGCTACAGCCCTAGTTCAAATACAGATTATTTCAGTTCATCGAAATGCTGCACCTTAATGTTTATTTTATTATATTATATTTATTTGAGTGAATACATTATTCACAGTTTAATAATAATTTAAAAATATATATATATATGTTATGTTTTGTGATAATTTTTTCTGCTGTACCGAAAACGTACCGAACCGAACCGTGACCTAAAAACCGAGGTACGTACCGAACCGACATGTTTGTGAACCGTTACACCCCTAATATCCGCAGTAAAGCAGAGCAGACTTTACAAACAGGTGGAAAGTGGCTATTTGTTCAAACACTTCCTCTGAGCTTACCTGTCCTCTGCAGGAACAGTCTGAGTAGAGGGCTAGCCACAGAGATGGCTTTGTGGTAGTTATCGTCATTGTTAATGGGCAGCAGGTCCCCGTGGACGTCGGCGTAGCCCACCAGGAGCTCCACGTTGGGGATGCGATGCACATGCTGCAGGAGGCCGTAGAACTCATCGAAGCGGCCCGGCTTCGACCGATCCAGTGAGAACCGACGAAACTCTGCACCGAACTGGGATGGAGCAGAGAGGAAGATGTAATCATAAGACTATGCTTGCAATGTGTGCAAACAATATTAAGAAACCCTTTTAAAAAGGACTGAGTTTTTCTGGCTCTGACTGATGAATGAATCACAATGAATCAGATAATAAAAGCATACATGATTGTGGTTTCCCACGATGAAATGAAAATGATTGACTATTAAAGTTTAAAAGGTGTGCTCCTAAATGTTGGAGCTGCTTATACCAGAGTAGAAGAGTCATATTTAACAGAGAGCACAGGAAAAGCATACAGTATGAGCCTTATTCTTATTCTGATGCAAAATATACATTCGCAGTAATGTAGCACATTTTCAACATTCAACAACAAAAAAATTAAATGTAATATTGGTGATCAAAATATTGATCTAGATAATCCTGGTCAATTTGTTAGCCATCATTTTGCAGCTATACTGATAAGTTCACACTGTTCTGGTAACCTAGCTAATTTCAAAACCGCTGTATGCAAGAGTCTGTCATCCATGTGGACAACTAACACACACCGCATGTGATGAATTATTAATGTCTACTTTGGGATGTGTGTACAGTATCTCTACGTGTCTGTGTTTGCGGATGCAGTATGTTCAAGGCTGAACAGCATTGTCTAGTCAAGCTGTCTGACAGGATGTTTGGTAGTGGTAACAAAGACTGGCAGCCCCTCAAAACACATAGTTATCAGTTTGGTCTCACTGGATCAATAGAGGTAAATGCCTAATTTTTAGGCAACCCTTTTGATGAGACACTGAGCCTAATGTTCCATTGGTGGTGGTGATGAGAAGTGTTGTGGTTACTGTTGCCCAGCGCTGACAAAAGATGATCTACAACTCACTGCCAACCTGGACATCTGATGCATTTAGTAGCTACATAGTAGAATTAAATTACCTCTAGGTATGGGAACAGGTCGCAATCCCGTTTCCCGCATTCACAGGAGTAGACAAAACATTTCAAATGACCCTGTACTGCTGGGTTTGTAAAATAGCAGAACAAAGTAAAATAATGAGTGTTTTATAACTGTGTGTGAAGTGGTCTGGATGAAGTAACACAGACACACAGTTTGTTTTTATCAACCGTATTGAGTTCCTATAATAAGTTTTGAGCAGTAAAAAGCGCACCGAGGCCCGTACCCCAGCTAGATGTGCACAGAGAACCATGCCAGGGGCAGGAGGGAGGCGCACTGTCGCGGAAGGAGCCATGAGCCTGTCGCAGGCCGTATAACACCTAACGCTCCGGAAAATAACAGGCAGCTAATAACAAGTCATACCAGGGTTATTTTACATAATGACAGGCAGTTATTCTAAAACTTGATCTAAACTTTGAGTCAATATTTGATACGGGCAGGGTGGAGCGGCGGAGGTGGCTGTGACAGGTGACACGGGCTCACTGCGGCGTCAGCTGACATAACCTCCACCTTAAAACTTACCCAGAACTACTGAAATATCACTACGCCAGGGTAACATCAAAGTTGTAAGTATGGCTATCTACCAGAAATGAGTCAGTGTCAGTAAACCTGTGTTGGCTAGTTAAGCTCTAGCTAGTGCCTGTGTCATTTGTGCGACATCATAACTTGCTATCAAGCCACTTAGCAGGCTAAATTAGCTAAGGTAATCATCTTTGGGGGTAGTTAAGAATACAAATACACCAGGTAAAGTGAAAAATAAGTCTATATTTGTAGCTGTTACCTTGCTCTTCACCTCCACGGCACTCAGAGAACGGTTGCTCGGCACTCGGTGGTTTTTGTTCATGTTTCGCTAGCAGCGGGACCGCCGCCGAAGCACTCACACACTCGCCCTGCTCCTGCCGCGCCGCCGCCGCTGCTCGGTATCCAGAACCTCACGTATCCACCAGTTATTGGTCCAGTCACACGGTGTGTCCCGCGACTTCTCGGCGTCCAGCGGTTTGCTTTATTCCTCCGAGAATGCGACAACGGCTGCCAACCAGCCTAGCTCACCCTGTGAACTTCTCTCCTCTCATACTTGCCGCTGCCAGTGTCGCTGTAGCCCTGCTGTGTGTCGGGCTCTGCCTCTCTGCTCACTCTGCGTGGAGAGGGGCAGCACCACACTTCAAAATAAAAGTCTTTCTCTCACCCATGACGTCACAATAAGAGCACTTTATCATCCTGCATTTCTGTGGGCAGATAATTAAACTATGTAATAAAAAATATATTATGAATGGTTTCTCCTATCTATCATCATCCACAACTTCAAGAATAATCGTATTTTTTATAATAAATGATTTAGACATAATGAATGCTCTATACAAAATATTTATTTTTGGGTCAACATCTTGATTGGCAGAGTATGACTGTAATTTAATTAGAAATATTTTGTATTTCCAATAAGATATAAGAAGTAGGCTACGCAAAATGGTACACAACATATATCCAACAAATCCATATTTTCCAATTTCTTAAATAGTGAAAACAAATGTATTTTAACAGGAATCAAAACACATTTATTTTACAATTGTTTTAATTTAGATTAATAATTGTTTTAAATGTATTAATACTTATTCTTTATTCTAAACTAAATATGATGGAAAAATGCATTTGCCAGTTTGTTGTTGTTTGGTTATTATTGCGTACTTTGTGTATTAACATTTGTATATTGTTTACACATGGGGGGAAGTCTTTTTAAATTAATTGTCATGGTGATAAATACAGATAACATAACATGTATTCAAAAGTAAATGTTATAGATGACTGGAACAACTTATCTGCTGTTGCATGTTGACACCTCCTGGCCAGAAGCCATATAGCTCTGCTGATACCTACCTGACTACACTAAACCATGTGTTTTATCTCATACTATAAAAGTAGTTGCATAAATAGATTGTTAAACTAGGAGGATGATCATAACCTTTTAGTATAGGCATATGTCCTAAAGTTTTTCAACCTTGCAGTAGGATTGGTTTTCCTCCCCCTCCCACATCTGCATATTTTCTCCCGGATAAGTGTGCATTTTCTAAACTGCATGCCTGGTTTTGACTTGATCTATTATTTACCTCAAGTAAATCTTAACTCTGCCTAGTGCATCACAGTTCAATCTTTCTTATCTACTTTAAACACAGCCTATTTGATAACATGAAGTTGTGTTCTAGACCAGGAAAGTATGATTAAAGGTCATTTTTGTTTTATTTGTCAAACTAATTTAAAGCCAACCTACAGAGTTTGGCCTCAAGCTGCCTGTTTGACACCTAACACACTCCCCTGTTTGTCAGAATTGTATTTATTTATGACAAGACAAAAACATTTCTCTTGGTCTATTTGACACCTCTACCAGACAGGTTAGATTAATGCCTGATAGAATGCATGATTATATGGCTTTGGGATCAAAGATTGTGGTTTTAATGGGTTTCAAAAAGGACATTTTTGTCCTTCACATTATGACATATTCTGGCATCACACTTTGATATTATGAGCTGAGGTTAACTTACAAAATTGGATAAAAAACAACCCATTAATTCAGCCAAAATGACCGAAAAGGTGAGACTTACGTATGAATGTCAACTATCTGCACAAGCACTGATGGCAGTCTGCAGGAACAACTGAAGAACAGTGATGTCATCCACCATCTCTCCTCCACCTGAAAGTAATCTACAATAACCACGTGACACAAACTTACAATGAATGAAACAAAAAATCTTTGAAAATAAAACCTAAAAAATAACCCAATAACTCAAATGCAATCTTCGTCATTCTAAATCTATATGCTTATCATATGGGTTGGCTCAATTAAAGGGCTAGTATGTAGTTTTATTAAAAAAGCTAATGTACATATTTAATAATATCCATTTAGGACTCAGAATGAGTATTTGATAGATAGGATAAAGGCTTCCATGCATCAAGAATATGGTTTTCACGGGCACACAATTCTCCAAAACCTCACCCTACTCATACCTCAGTTGCATATGCTAAAATAGCATGTTATCAGAAAACAATGCTGCATTAAAACTAGCATAGAAACAAGGTAAAATGGTATTTCCAATAAAGCGAGTCTATAACCTTTGCTGAACACCCGCCATTGTGCACTGAGTTTTGCCTTTCTCAGATTTTCTTCTTCCGCTGCTTTAAAGCACCAGAAGAGTCGGAAAGAAATTATGCCTATGACTCTTGTCTGAAATATTGCTTGAGATCCATTTTTTCAAGTTACCTTATTCGGTCTTAATTCGGTGTGTACTTTGCATCACTTATGAGACAACATCTCTGAAGTATTTAATCACTAACTGCAAGCTTTGATTCAGAACTTTATCGAAAGAGCTCTCAAAACAACTTCAAGGGCAGAGAACACGTTTATTTCGCACTAAAAATATATTCCCTGGCAGCAGGGTCATGTAGTGATAAAAGAGTCTGTCCTTCAGCTCGACAGAACAGGATCAGAATGCTGAAAAACAAGAACAAGACAGTGCCAGAGGTGCTGCTTTTAAAACATCACATCTGAACAATGGTACAAGTGGTAATTCTAAATATATTTAAATATCCATATTGTTTTTATTTGTCAAGCCAGGTAATGACTGTATCCTTAAATGAACAGAAAACCTGAAATGAAAGACACTCCCCATACACTCACCAGTAGTTTTTGTTTACTACATTCCTCACTCCCCAATTTCCGGGTGTTCCTCTCCCCCATCTGCTGTGCACACAGCTGTACAGATGTGTCAGAAGCAGTGGCGTAGCCACCATAGGGCCAGGGTGGGCGCAGGCCCACCCAGTTTACTCATTGGCCCACCCTGAGAAAGCTTCGGTGTAATTAAAAAAAAATATATATTATTCAATTCAAAGTGAAATTCAAGAGAACAAATATCGAGTTTAATTAATGTTGTAGGCCTATGTGTTTTATCCTCTGAACCGAACTAATTTACGGTAAAAACTGATTGTTGGTTCCGGCAAGCGCCATAATAATGTGAGAGAGGCAGAGAGCTGCCTGCAGAATAAATTATGGCTCAAAGTTCACTAATGAACTGTTAAATACTGGATACTCTATAGCTGTTGTTTTTTTAAAAAGCCAGACTCCAAGAAGAGCCCCCACTGCCCTCATCTAGCAGCGATCTATACGATCATTTTCTGATAACGATGAAATAGCCCCGCCTCCCTCTCCCCACCTCTCCTGCTGCTGGGCTGTCAGAAGAAAAAAAATGTTAACGGAAACTCTGCCGCACGGTTCCCTCGTCCCTGGGAAGAGGCGGAGAGGTGGGTGTTTTTCATCTGCTGGTGGACAGTCCGGAGAGATATACACAGGGTTAGGTTGTAACGGAATACATGTAACGGCGTTACAAATCAGAATACAAAAATCAAGTGTATTCAACTGGCGTTACATTTGAAAAACGAGTAATCTGATTACAGTTACTTTCGTAAACCTGAAGTGAATACATTTTGGAATACTTATTGGAATTATTGGTGGAAAAGTTTCCTCACAAAATGTAATATTCATTACCGGCAGAACTGTGTGCACACTGCACGGCGCTGCAGCGAGAGAGAGATGCAGCGTGTCTGTGAGGCTGATTGATTGATTGATTGATTGATTGATTGATTGATTGATTGATTGAAAAGTGTATTAACAGCTTGTATATTGGGTACAGTACAGTACAGCTCAAAACATACAATTGTTAAGGGGATGCAGACCAGAGAAAGACTTTTGTCTTGTTTACATCAGGGTCCCCCATTTCCAATTCATCATATCATTTAAGACATATAAGACATATTTGACATACAGATGGCTTATTTACAATTTACATACAGGTGGTTTTTTACATACAGATTGCTTATTTACAATTTTCATTTTAGATTTTGTTCTAATACATCCTAACCGGACATTTAAGACATACCAAGTCTACAGATATACAGTTAGTAACAGAGTCTAAAATGTGAGTATATACATAGATGGGGGGGGGGGGGAAGCTGTCCATTGAACGACAGGTTGAGATTTGTACCATTACCGGGGCCAGTTTTGCAATGCTCTCCCCCGAAGGTGCTCTTTAAGAGAGGTTTTGAAGGTAAGTATAGTTTTACTTTCCTTTACAGTTGTGGGAAGAGCGTTCCACCTTGATGTGGCATAAATCGGAGGCCCCGCCCCCGCACGCAGATGAGAGAGAGAGATCTCTTTTAAAATATATTGAAAGTAAGAAACGGAGATGGTTAGATAAAATGTGCAAGATAACGTTGATGTAGCATTTCTTTATTGTCGAAATGATGACATTTATAACGGGATAAAGTCAAAGTGAATGGCCTGCTGCTGCTGAATGCATGGGGCAAGTGACTGGAAAAAGTTTTTAAAGTTATTACATCGTTTCAGATAATAATAATAATAAATAATAATGATAATTCATTCTATTTAGGCGCGCCTTTCAAAGCACCCAAGGACACCTTACAATTCATAACATATTCCAAGGAAAGGTTTAAGTCAGTACAAAGAATGCAGTCCGGGTGATGTTTTTTATGTGTGGTGCAGATGAGAGAGCTGTCCAGAATGACACCAATATGTTGTGTTTGAGTTCTTGATAAGCCATTAAAACAGTAAAATACGTGTCTCCTGCTCACCAAAACATACCCATCTGTTATGGAAAAAGAAAGTATTCCAAAAGTATTCTAAAAGTAATCTGCCACCGGTACCGGCGGGATTGTTGTTAGCTTCTGATGCGCAGAAGAAAAATCTGGCCCACCCTATTTTTTTACAGGCCCACCCTAAAGTACATTTCTGCCTAAGCTACTGGTCAGAAGTGTCTGACCTCTCTCCCCTGCGTCTCACCGTTCTTTGTGCAATGTGATGCAGCTACCACCACTTTTTACCAGCAGTACAAGAGGGGGCCAGTAGCTAACTCAACTTTAACATGGAAGATATGTCAGCCCCCCCCTGCACACACACACACACACACACACACGTCCCTTACCCTTCTCTCCCTCTGCCTTTCTCTCTCTCCAGTAAGATGAGTGTCTGCAGCCCTATGTTGTTTAATTCAACTTTTTAGACGGACAGAATAAAGGCTATATGCAACATGGGGAGGCTGTGGCTCAGTGGTAATGCGCTGATCTTCAGATCAT